CCCTCGGAAGAAGTCCGATGGATTCGCCCTCCCGGATTAAAAGAGCTGCCGCTTCGCGTGCTTTTCTATCCGAAGCCCCACCCCTATACGGACGAGATTACTCCCGTTGTAGTTTTCTCTGGGCTTGTGAAGATTTCGAGAGATGCTCAGAGCGATGCGCCTTTTAGCTTTTATTCGCCAGGATGTCTGGGATTCACTCTTTTCTCACGATCTATGGCCGGGTGTATATTTTTCGAGGGCTTTTATGGCAAAAGTGCAAAGTAATCTCCTGCCTTATTTTCCTTCTGCGGGATAATTCTATCTTAACGGCAACTTTTCCTTTACTTTCTTTTGCGGCCCTCCTTGAATTAGGATTAAGGCGCTTATTAACTAATTATTCATTCAAGTGTCTAAATATGATTTCACCGTACTCATTACAGTAACGTTAACAATGCTCACGAGATGGGAAACATTATATTAAGTAGTCGTTTATAAAGGATCGAGCTTTAATGAATTGAAACGTTATTATATTATACGTTTGTTAATATGCGATAATTTTTGCTATGAAAATTCAAACGCGTAGTTATAATAGAAAATGAACGTAGTGTGACGTTGGTAGAAAACTCGGATACAGTCGACTTTTGATAAGTCTCTGTTTCTTTAATGGCGCGCGCCCACTTTTTTAGTCCCGAACATTGTGAATTATCATAAAAATATAGCACATTGGAACTTAAATTTTTATTCCGCTGTATGCGGATTTGCTTATCCACGTATATATTACGCGTTAGTATGTGTCATCTTTCACACCAAAGTGTACTTAATTACAATAGTTGGAATAACTATAATCTCATATAACGAATATTATTATTTCGGTGTTATCATTCGCCTCCTACAAATGCTTTCCTATTTGATTATTCATAAAGCATTTATCTATTGATAGGCACTTGAGAAAACAAAATATTAGCATTTCTATCAAATGTAACAATGTTTTCAATTCTCGTGCATTCTCTTGATATGTTTTTTAAAAAATTTCAAGTTTCCCGATCGATTTCAGCAAATAGTAGGTGATCCTATCCTTAAAATGTAATTTAAAGCACAAAAAGAAATTCTGCAATATTTTGATTAAAAAAAATTATATTATTGTATTTTTATTTTATTTTATTTAAAATGCAATTTCGGTTAAAAAAAAAATTTACTTATTATTATACAACAATGAGTTAAGAAATTTTTTTGCCTTCGATTAACAAATCATACACTTATAGAAAATTATTCGATTGATAAGCGAAGATAATACGATGCTAATTAAGAAGTAAAATGATTACGTTAACATTAAATGAAGAACATAAAGAGAAAAGGCTTTCTCTCTCTCTGCGCGCGCGCGCGCGTGTGTGTGTGTGTGAGAGAGAGAGAGATATGAGGATCGTGACAGGGTGATGGGACCTACAAGTCCATTGAATATCTAGATGGAAAGGGCAGGAGTGAGCTCTCGCGTAAAACCACCAACGTCGATCTTCTCCACCGCATCCACATCCGTGTTCCCGTCTTCACGCATCGCTGCCTTTCATAATTTCGCGCGTGTTGGTGCAATAAACGCTGGCGCAAGAAAAAAGGAAAGAGGCGGGGGCGAGGGCGTGCAAGTGTCGGTCGGCAGATCGTCAGAGTCGTAAAACGTTAACTGCCAGTAAAAGTGAGTTTACGTGCTTGTAAGGACCCCCCAGGAGCTGCAGCGACCCGTTTCCCTTCTCCAGATCTTCCCTCCACCACCCCATACCTCACTATACCGGGCAACACCGTATTACATGAGTTACTTGTTGTCTGAGGAGCTGTGCGAAACTATTGCACTCGCGAGGTGAAGGAGACACAATAACACACTCAACCGTTGTGGATTTTTACGCAAAGCCATTAATCAAGAGTCTTCCTGTCGAGTAAGTCTGACTAAAAACATTCTTTTGGATTCGTGAACCCTTTCGTATCAGCAGTCTCGAGGGGATCCATCGCGAGTCTTTTCCCGTGCACTGTGAGCAAACTGCGAGCGAAGGGTGGAGTGAAGGTGGAGAGGGTTGAGAGAAGCTTTAATTGTAACACTTCGTGTAATTGCATTAGGCGCCCGCATTCGATTCTCGCTCCCCCTGTCTTTTAGATTAGAATTTCTTATTCTCTATCTGCCTGATTACCACCACCACCACCACCACCACCCCCCTTCCCAATCGCTCTCACTCACTTCTACTTTCCTTTGCTTATTTGTTTTCTCAGCATGGTTGGAAAAGTCTAGATGAAAACGTTACGCCTTATGGAAAAACTTCAGTCATTTAGAAAACCTTGTCAATGTTATTCAAACGTGTGTAAAAAAAAGTGTAATGGAATGGAGTTTTATTGAATCGAGTCAAATTTGGTTTTCTATGATTAGACTTGCTAAATATGCTTATATCGTTACTGTTTTTATATAATAAATCTTATGAAATATGTTGTTACATAAGCAGCATTTGTCTTAATAAATATAAATAATTTAGTAAAATTAATTTTCAACTTCGTTAAATACAAATTCATTGAGTGAAATATATTCAGTTTATTATACTTTTCGATTAATTATAACCTTTGTTTTGCTGTATAAAAAATTTATTACCATACTTAGTGATATTTGAAATATTATACTTCGTTTTTTCAGGAAATATCTTCATGGAAATATTCCAATATTTATGGAACTCAATATTGAATTACGGCTTTATGATATGAATATTCTACAGTTTCTTCACTGGCGTCAAAAAAAAAAAAAAAAAAAAAAAAAAAAATAAAGAAAAGAAAATCGTATTTTCGAACAATAATTACGAGTTATTATATTGTAAGATTTTAAACAGAGAAAATTACATTATATTAATACACAGTTATAAATGCTTAAAGTGTGCAATATAATTTCGCATTTAAATTCTATCGATACTATAAGGCACCACTGTAAACTAATCGATGCAACTTTTTGCAATTGCTTATTTTTCATTTACGAACGAACTTCATTAAAATTATCACCAATATTATAAACGTTATCAGTACACAAAAGAATATACCTTATCTAATAAGTGTGCCATAAAACTGCCGTCAATAGCTTTAATTAGGTTTGAAGATTTAGATAACATTTTACATTGTCGAGATGTTGGAATCTTGTTTTATATGAACGATGTAAGATACATTAATATGTGGCAAGGGATGAGGTCTCGTACATAAAGTTTTTCGCTTATCATTCTTAAAGCTCTCCTGGATTGCCACTATTGGAAGCTCATTATTAACCACTATCGAACGAGTATCAAGAGTAATATAATACAAATAAAGCAGACAATATTTCTTCATCTATTTCGAATTGAATTTATGAAAATTTGAAGAATAAAATTTGTCAAGTACGTGTGTCCGATATTCACTTAGTTTTATGCTACGAAGTAGAAATAATGACACGCACGTGCAATTAAATAATCCAATTTCGCATTTCTACTTACTTAGCTACTTATCTCGAGTAATAATAAAAAAAAGGCTTTAATATTTGTCATTTCGTTTATACAATCCATTTGTTGTTTCCATAAAGAATTCCAATTAAGAATACTTATTAGTCGAGAGTTGATAAGCAAAGACGGAGAAAGCGATGGCCAAATCCCGCCTCGTACAAGTACACTGTAATCCGCTAATTTAACGGGCTCATCCCGGGCATTTAATCCATATATATTTATACACACATATCTACACACACATATATATATATATATATATATATATATATATATATATATTCGTCGGGCTATGAAATAGCTCAGCGTGCAAGTTTTAATCGTGGCTCGCGTCATGGACGCATTGCATGTAAAGGCCGATGGTGAATCGGGAAGAAACGGTAGTGAAAAGGATGCGAATAGGAGGAGGTGGAAATAAAGAGGGAGCAACCACTCCTCCTGCTTTTACGGCTCATCCAGCTCCATCATGTACCGTAAAAGTACGATAAAAGCACTGTTACGGTGTACAGTCAGCCTCCGAGTATTCGTGTGCAAGAAGTTGTACGCGCAAAACCGTGCAAGAAGACTAGTCGGTGAGGTTGTTGTGGGGAGGGGGGTTTGAAGGTGGGATACTTTGATGCGCGCACGTACATATCCGGTGGCTTCGACGATGAGAATTGATTCCTTTACGATCGGTAAATATCCCACCGACGAGCAACTACCGCTCCGGCTTACCTTCTTTCTCTTCTCCTTCTCTTTATCCATTTACGTGGGACTCAGTGGTAGGTGCGCTGGTCTTTTCGACTATGGCTTTTGCGATCGACTAATACGAGGTTTTTATTGCGGCTCCGATCGTGCTAAGATCCCTTTGCTAATTTACATTGCGACTTTACAGCGGCTCCCTCTGTCTTAGTGCCGCTGTGCTCGCTCATTCTCGGCGGCTTTATTTATTGCAGACCACTAGCACGAATGAGAGATCCGATGTGAGCTCGGATATGTGAATGGTGGGAGATTAAAGGGAGGATAGAGCTTATCGCGTTTTTTAATTTATTAGTGCTGCATCCGGAGTATAATGATTTTAAAATTAACAATGCTCCGCGCAAGTTTCTAACATTCTATTCTATTCTTTTACATTTTGTATTATCTGCAAGTTTTTGACCATGGAGAAGAAATAGTAAAACTAAAACATTATTACAAATTATTTTAGAAACAAAATTAATATTTATCAATGAAACATATATATATATATATATATATATATATATATATATATATATATATATAATATACTCACCATTAGTATCTATTAATATAAATCGATTATATTATTTCAAGTATTTGTTTTTATAATACCTGTTATACAGATATCCGCAAGTTGAATAATCGATTATCTAATCTTTACATTTATTCATTCATTTAAAAAAAAAAAAAAAAAAAAAAAAAAAAGAATTATAGTCATGCAATAAATCACAATAAAGAATTTAAAAAAGTCTTGAAGCGCATAAACATAAGAAGACGCATCCTTATCTGAACAAAACTTTCTTCGTATTGCAGTTTTGTCGCTGAGAAACACGCAGGAGGAGGAGCCCCCAGATCCTCAGCTGATGAGGCTGGATAACATGTTGATCGCCGAAGGTGTCGCTGGTCCGGAGAAGGGCGGCGGTGCCGGTGCTGCAGCCTCGGCATCCGCTGCTGCGGCCGCAGGTCCACCAGGACAACCGGACAATGCCATCGAGCATTCGGACTACCGCGCCAAACTTGCCCAGATCAGGCAAATCTATCACCAGGAGCTTGAGAAATACGAGCAGGTACGAATGTTTTTTTATGTCCGAATGGAAACATATGACGTAGGCAGCTCAATGCCTGGATTTCTTGATGTACAGGCATATATTCTTATTTACAAAACGAGAAAACTAAACTAGGTCTGCTAAACAACGTATATACCAATTGGCCTTCTCTTTATAATCAGAATTGTGATTATCGCTTCGCATTAACCATATTTACCGTCATAGCGAGATTATAATGTAAATTATAGTTTTTTTATGGTCTAAAAATTTATTAGCGAGATTATCACAGATACCAGATTATTATAGAATATTACATATCAAAATTAATAGCATCATGATAATAATCCAATACTTAAGGTCCTTATGTGGGTTAGTACTTCTTTGCTATCCCTTTTCTTATTTTCATTATTGTATTGAACAGAATTTAATATTGCACCAACGGAATATGAACGATAGAGTCTAAATATTTCATTAACTAAAATACAATCACCGATAAAAGTTCATTATTTTAAATAAACTTTATTCTATATTAATGATCAATCTCGCTGTTTGAAAAATAGTAAAAATATTTCATTTCTTTATATTTTTAATTAGAAATTTTGTATTCACAAAATATTAAATATTTCATGTTCAATTCGGTTTTCAAACAAATTTATAATTCTAAATTATAATCTTTTTTAAACTTTATAAAGTTCTTTTATTTATGTACCAACTTCTGATAATTTACAATGCAAATTTTGGTTAAAAATATCAATTGTATTATTATTCAAAACAGTCATTAAATGAATTGCTTCTTTTTTTTTTTTTATAATAATATAAATTTACCTCTATGTATACTTAATGATAATAAAATCTCATTGAGAAGAATATTTCCGTAATTTAATCCACTTTAAAATTTGACAGTAACTATGAAATTGTGAAAATAAAGTAATGTTAATTTAAAATGTAAATCATAATGCAAATCATTAAATGAATAATCGAGATTGAAACAATTTTGTTGAAATTGCAAATAATTCAAAACGTGTTTCACTTAGTTATAAAAATAAAAATGCAGATTTTCATATTGTTACAAGTAATATTTTATTACGATACTTTTTTCTCCTTCTCATTTTCTCTCTGTTTTTGGCTTTTCTCACCCCCCTTTTACTATTTTCCCCTCCGTCTTCTTTCTCTCTCTCTCTCTCTCTTTCTTTTTTTATTTTAACAATTTAAATTACAAAAATATATAAAGATGAATCCTCGTGTTTATGATTTCACATAAATTGCTAAAGATTATACAGGGTTAATGCCTGCATGGCTATGCAAAATGGCGTGACAGCTACGGAAATAGACGCACATGAATTTAATGCGATCGCGTGATCACAACCAGCTACCGTCTGGCACGGATTTAACGAATGCAGCACATCGAGAGGGGAGGAGGAGAGATAAAGAATCGTATTTCTGTATGCACTCGACAACTCAAAATGCTTTTAAAATGCTTATTTTTTGTTTTTATTATTACATAGTAAAGCTGAGTTTTACATAAGTTTATAATTAAAATTGTTAACGTAATTGGTAAAGTACATGTAGGTAAATATTTTTAGAATTAAAAACTCGATAGTAAAGCTCTTATATTTGATATGTAGAATATTAAATAATTTTATATGAGAAATCGATTTATCTACCTTGTAATGTAACATTAATCTGTTCAATTTCATTTACTTATAATAAACTTCTTAAATCCATGATTAACTTATCATTACGGCCTTCTAGTTCATTTTTTTTTTTTATTTCTACTGGTTAATGTCATCGGTTCGTTATCACTAATTTGAACAGGTAATATATATATATATATATATATATATATATTAAAACGCAAATTATAAATTTCGTTAAATAAACGGTAGCAAACTCGATTACCCTTTTTTTTTTTTTTTTTGGCAAGATTTCACTATCGGCGCTCAATTCGATGCATATTTCAAACTTAGATAGTCATATATATGCACAATTGCATCGTTGGCACAAATTCAATATTCTGCCTCGATGGAACTATAAATCGATACTTACTAGCATAGGAATGTTCTTTTCGCCAATAAAATTATACTAAATACTGCGGAAATATGCATATAAAAATTGAAATGCATTCTTTGATCGGAACTTTTGTTCTTGATTTGGGCGTGGAATGTCTTTCTTCTATGTAATATAAAAGTTTCGCTGTTTCCAATCGATAAGACAGAACTGAATATTTTGAAAACTTGAAATACTATTTCGTATTGTGTAGTAAGAAAATATTGTATTTCATGTAGAATAACAGAATTAAATATTAATTTCAATTTTCCTAGAATTATTAAGAAATACACATATAAGTTTTTTATTTAATTCAATTATATTGTATAAGTACTGAGTAAATGAAAATGTCCATTTTAGTTTCACTCTCTGTCCAAATTACTATTCATATTTGTATGGAAATACGAAATATTCCTGTGACTATATTCTATGTAGTCTTCTTAAATATAGATTTGATCAACTAATCAATAGTCCTTATGTATTTCTTCCTTGGTTATTTTTGTTTTATAAAGTCCAATAATACTCAGAAAAGCTCGAGTTCCACAATTACTGTAATATTCTTAAGCTTTCCAATATTCTTATCAGACAACATGATTGCATTTAATTCGCAGTAAAGGAGTCTTTTCTTACGTGTGTAACATAGACACGCGTTTTATCTCATTTAAATGTTTTAACTCT